AGACACTGCAATTCCCAGGTTTCGTGATAAAGAACTGATGTCACTTCTACAGTCATTGGAACGTGACCTCAAAAGCACTTCTTTCATGTTGGATAAATCCTGTTGCATTAGCCACCACACTTTACATAAGTGTAGGTGAGACCAGAGTAAACTATCTATACACTTATAAGACTATGTACACTGAAGAGTCTAAACTCCTCAATATGTTAAACTTTGTATAACTGATTAACTTAAAATTCTTAAAAATACCTATAGCCCTAGCCAGTTCGGCTCAGTGGATAGAGCATCAGCCTGGGGACTGCAAGGTCCCGGTTTTGATTCTGGTCAAGGGCACAGGCCCAGGTTGCAGACTTAATCCCCAGTGGGGGTTGGGGGAAGGGCAATGCAGGAGGCAGCCAATCAATGATTCTTTTCTCTCATTGATGTTTCTCTCTCTCTCTCTCTCTCTCTCTCTCTCTCCTCTCCCTTCGTCTCTGAAATCAATAAAAATATTTTGAAAACCCCATAAACTGCTGTCTGCAAGGGCTGAACTCTAGAAAGGTTAGCAAAGCTTTCCTTAACCATTTGTCTATTTTATTTTACTTCTCTGAAGTCAGCATAACTTACTGATTCTCCTTATGCTTTGGAATAGAAAGATCAGAGCTATTTATTTACGAATTTTAACCACAGCAGAATCATCCCAAAGTTGCTGATTTAATGTCTAAATTTAGTCAACATTCAACATGTTTATGAATCCTCCCAGAGTCATTTAAATCACACAGGGAATAAAAGTACTAGTGGGCTGAGTCTCTTCCTTAGGAAGGAAGAGAATAAAAATGACCAGAGAACAAAGGTAAGGGGAGAGGGTCTTTGATATGGAGGAAACTTTAACCAGTTAACTGCCACGACAGTTTGCATTTAAATACTAGTAAAAAAGGTCCGCTGCTTGTGTCTATAGACGCTTATGGCGTACAAATGGTTAACAGAAGGATGATGAATTCCAAGACGATGAACGAGAATTTAGTGCAGAAGCTGATGGTTAGTGTTAGTGAAAGTAAGGATAAAGAACAACTCAGAAAAAAGCTACAGAATATTCACATTTTGAATTTGAAGAGGCCTTGATTGAATGAAGAGATATCCAAAAGAGGAGCCCCAAGACCTGAGATCTGAGGACTGCCAAAACAGCACCCCAAGAGGTGGCAGGGCCATGTCTAAGCATCTGTGCCCTGAAGTCACAGAATGATAACGCTCTCTCTCCGCCATTTATCTATGTCACCTTGGGCAAGTTAAATAACTCTGAGCCTCAGTTTCTTCGCCTGTAAAACGGGGTATCAACTGCCCCAGTCTCTACAGGACCACAGTGAAAATAACCACAAAGCATGAAGTTGGTAAATGCTCAAATATTAGGTGGTGATCATGATGTTTTCTAAAAAAAAGGTTAAATGTAAAATAAGTTCTAGGAACAGAGTCCTGTATATTCCACATTCCACATTGCGGGCTCAGGAGCTCTGTTTGGTAACAGTTTGGCACCTGAATTTTCAATCTTACCCTGTTGCACACATTTTTAACCAGTATGGTGATTCAGTTTCCAGGTAGTTGTCTAGAAATATATTTTTCAAAGCAAATTATAAAAATGAGGCATCCCAGTGGTACAATTAGTTGATAAATCTGGGCCTGTAGACCCATTATTAGGTTTTGGACAAGGATGAGATGTAACAGATCTAATGGGCAAAATTAGTATTCTATATGACCTCTATAAATAGCCTATTATTTTTAGAAACAAAAGCAATGAGAAAATTCTCAAGATAAATGACTTAAAATCATCCAAGGAGGTCTCCATTAGAAAAAAGTTGGATTGAGAGTTTAAACAGAATGAAAATAACTCAGAAATTTCTTTAAATTTTTTTTCTTATAATTAATTTCCTCATGTAAGAGAGAGTTTGTACTGTAATAACTAGAAGAAACCACAAGAATAAAGAGAATAACGATGGTTAACGTGCTTCATAAATTACATTTTATAAATTTAATTATTATTATTATCATCCACTGAGCCAAACCGGTTAGGGCAATTGTTATTATTTTTTAATATAATATATTGATTTCAGAGAGGAAAGGAGAGGGAGTCAGGGACAGAATCATCAATGATGAGAGAGAATCACTGACTGGCTGCCTCCTGCATGCCCCCTACCCGGGCTTGTGCCCTGACGGGGAATGGAACCTGTGACCTCCTGGTTCATAGGTTGACGCTCACCCTCTGTACCACGCCAGGTGGCCTACAAATTTAATTATTAAATAGGATGGTGGGGTTTTATTGAAGAAAAATAAGAAATTGGGATCAAGTTGAGAACTCTCTAACAAAAGGTCATAGAGGGGCACTCCTTCCCAGTCAAAGGTGAAATGAGTTTGCCCAGGCATCTCTTCATAGTTAGGCAGGCTATCCTACCTGGGAAAACAGAGAGGGGAATCTCTCTTGGTTTCACTAGGCAGGTCCTTGACCACCACCCTGCATTAGAGCTAAGGTCATTCATCTTTACAAGCGTGCAACAACTTGTCAAGGATGTATCTACGATGCCAACTGAGGTACAGCCGAGCACATGAATTCCTCAGTCAGTGGAGAATTTGAAGACGTTTTATTCCCATGTGCTACAGTGGGTAAGAACTGGCAGGAAGCCCTATTTAAGGAAGGTCTTTGGGTTGAATTTTACTTGGTCATGAATAGGGAGCTGGGACATGAACCAGAAAAGATTCAAAAGTGTCTCTGGTCTAAGATTCCTCCGAGGCATGGATGGCAAGGCAGGCATGACTGATGGCATGTGCTAGGATCCTGGGGGGTTCAGGAGCCTAAAGCCCATGCCAAAGAGCGTGGCACGGTGGGCACTCCCAGTGGGGGTGGCCAGTGTGAGGGGGATCCCAACCCGAGAACCCGTGAGAGCTGGCTCTCCAGGGCTGCGGGACCAACAGCACGGGGTCCAGCTGACACGGCTCACTCTGCGCCCAAGTGCTTTCGCTCATCACCCCGGGGAGCCTTAACGCTGCCCCCACTGCAGGTCGGGCAGGCAGCCTGCTCACTTCACAGGTTCTGAGACCAAGGCTCAGAGAGGTGAGGTTGCTGACCGAAGGCCTCCCGGTGGACACAGGGCGAGACCCTCGGTTTTCGGATTCCTAACCCCGTGGGAGAAGAGAATAAACACGAAGACGGCACAGGAAGTATCTCACCATTTAACCTTTGAGAATCTGCACGGCTACCCAACAGCCGCCTGTCACATGCATCAGTTCAGGGGAGAGAGGCTCCCAGGCACTTTCTGGAGGTCAACAGATATTCTCGGGGATGCAGGAGGAAAAGGCTATCCTCACAGGCCGCACAGACCCGCAGGCCCGACAGAAGGACTTCCTCCCGGTGGGAGCCTGGCGCCTCCTGCCTGCTCCCTCTCCTCTCAACGCCACAGCGCAGTTCCCTCACCGTGAAGGAGGGCACAGCCGAGAGGGACACGGGCTAACACAGGACGGATCCGGAGGCCACAGAATGGCCCGTGGAGAAGTTAATCAGACACTTTCTGCTCCCCACTTGTCTCTGGGGGGACAGGCTTTAGTGAGAGAAGCTGACTAGATGGGGAGAACATGGCCAATTCCAACAACATCTAATGAGTAAGCACACGCAGACACACACAGGGCAGGGGACACCCCGACCGTGACTGCACCTGGTGAGGGTCTGCAAACAATAGCAGCCGCCCTCCCCGGTGCTCAGGGAATGGCTGACTGCCTCGGAGCTTCGCAGCTGTGGCCTTCCAGGAAGGTTTTCTGACATTCTCTCTCTCTCTCTCTCTCTCTCTCTCTCTCTCTCTCTCTCTCCCCTGCCCCCTCTTTCTCTCACAGAGATAAAGAATGCCTAGTATGTGCCAGGTATTCTTTTACACTAGGGAGACCCCACGTGCCTTTAGGAAGCTCTCCTAGAGTGGGGACACCTTCCAATCCCACAGGCTGCCCAT